AGGGTCCCTTCGTCTGGTCAGGTGTTTGCTGCAGCGTCCAGGTCTGGTCCTGAGTCTGCCCCCTGCTCGTGTCGTCGTCTGTCTCACGAGACCCTCCTCTGGCACCACCGCCTTGGCCACCCCTCTCTGCTTCGGCTCAGAGGCATGGCCTCGCGAGTCCTTGTGTCTGGTCTTCCCCGGTCTCTCCCTCCCCTTCCTCCGGGCCCTGGCCCCACCTGTGTCCCCTGTGTCGAGGGGCGCCAGCGTGCTGCCCCTCACTCCTCCCAGTTTCCTCCGACAGAGGCTCCGTTGCAGACACTTCACATGGACGTGTGGGGCCCAGCCCGCGTCCGTGGACAGGGTCAGGAGCGCTACTTCCTGCTGGTGGTTGACGACTACTCGCGTTACACCACAGTCTTCCCCTTGCGCAACAAGGGTGAGGTCACTGAGGTGTTGATCGACTGGATCCGCGCAGCTCGTCTCTAGCTTCGGAGGAGCTTTGGCTCTGACTTCCCTGTTTTACGTCTGCACTCGGACAGAGGCGGAGAGTTCTCCTCTGGCCTCCTGAGTGCCTACTGTCGTGCGCGAGGCATCCGTCAGACCTTCACGCTTCCGGACTCACCACAGCAGAATGGGATTGCTGAGCGCCGCATTGGCATGGTCATGGACGTCGCTCGTACGTCCATGATGCATGCGGCTGCTCCCCATTTTCTGTGGCCGTTTGCGGTCAGTTACGCTGCGCACCAGATCAACCTCCACCCCAGGGTCTCTCGACCGGAGACCTCCCCAGCCCTGCTATGGACGGGGAAGGTTGGCGATGCGTCGGCGTTCCGGGTCTGGGGATCTCGGGCGTTTGTTCGCGACCTGTCTGCGGACAAGCTGTCCCCTCGTGCTTCTCCCTGCGTCTTCCTGGGGTTCCCCCCCGACGCCCCTGGGTGGCAGTTTTACCACCCCACCTCTCGACGTGTTCTGTCCTCCCAGGACGTCACGTTCGACGAGTCGGTACCCTACTACCGCCTCTTCCCCTACCGCACTCCGTCCCTCCCCCCACCCCCGCTCTTCTTGGTACCAGGTCCCCCCCCGGTAGTCCCCCTCCCCCCTCAGGGTCCTGCCCCTTCAGGTGTGTCCCAGGTAGACGCGGTCGAGCCTGTCGAGGTCACTGGTGACTCAGGTGCTGCTGCGGGAGCTGAGCCTGGGGGTGCGGAGTCTGGGGGTGCTGAGCCTGGGGGTGCTGAGCCTGGGGGTGCTGGGCCTGGGGGTGCTGAGCCTGGGGGTGCTGTGCCTGGGGGTGCTGAGCCTGGGGGTGCTGAGCCTGGGGGTGCTGTGCCTGGGGGTGCTGAGCCTGGGGGTGCTGTGCCTGGGGGTGCTAAGCCTGGGGGTGCTGTTCCCGGGGGTGCTGTGCCTGGGGGTGCTGAGCCTGGAGGTGCTGCGCCTGGGGGTGCTGTGCCTGAGGTTGCTGAGCCTGGGGGTGCTGTGCCTGGGGGTGCTGTGTCTAGGGGTTCTGAGCCTGGAGGTGCTGTGCCTGGGGGTGCTTCGTCTCGCCGGGAGCCACTCTCCCCACAGGAGCTGCGTGAGTGGTTTGCCAGGCGCTGGAGGCGTGCTGCTGGTGCGGGTGGTTCTTCGACTGCAGAGGGTACTGCTGCCGCGCGTCCCGCCGGTGCTCGTACTGTGGGTGCTGGAGCTGCTGGGTCTGAGAGTTCTCCTGGAGCTGGTCCTGCTGAGGGTGTTGGCGCTGAGCCTGCCGTTGGCGGTCCGACTGACAGTGCTCCTGGTGCTGCGGCTGGGGGTTCTGGAGCTTCTGGTGGTGCTGCTGGAGGTGCTGCTGGAGTGGGTGCTCCTGCCGGGGCTACTGGTGTTGTTCCTGCTGTTTCTAGCGTCGCCGCGCGGCCCCGACCGTACTTCGTTCCGCTCCTGCAGCAGGTTCTTGGTCTTACACCTCCTCCTCCTCCCTTAGAGGGTCCGCAGCCTGTCCAGTCACAGCCACAGCTACAGCCTGCCTCCCCTTTGCCTGCTCCTTCTCCCTACGCTGGTCCGACTGGAGGTCTTACAGAGCGTCGTGAGCCTGCGTCTCGTCCTGTGTCGCCTGTTCGTACTGAGCGTGCTAGTGGTCGCGGGTCGCGTCAGCGTCCTCCTCCTGTCCCTGGCACGCACCGGATGTCACTGCGTCCGTCCACTGCTCCTCTGCGTGCCCCTTTGCCTTCTCCTCCTGATTCCTCTCTTCCTGCTCTTGCCGACCCGGAGTCGGACTCTCTTCGTGCTGCCAGTCCTACTGTCACGCGTCTCCTGGCTACTGCTGTCACTGACCCCTCCTTCGAGTCGTCTGCTGCGGCTGCCCTTGTCACTGAGCTTGTCGACTTTGCTGCGCGCTGTCGTCTAGACTACGCTGCTCGTCTTGTCACTGAGTCTGAGTCCGCCTGTCCTCCGTCCGTCGGGGGTGAGTGTGCCCTTGGCACGGACGTCCTTGAGGACAGGCAGGAGGAGTTCCAGTGTCTGGCCGCCGCTTCACCTCGTCTCGCGTCTGTACTGCTAGCCCCTGAGGGAGACCCGGATGCACCAGACATCCCGACTCCGCGCTCTTACGCGGAGGCGATAGAGGGTCCCTACTCCTCTCAGTGGCAGGCACCTGTGGATGCAGAGATGGCTTCCTGGAAGTCCACAGGCACCTATGTTGACGCTGTTCCCCCTCCTGGGGCGAACATCGTCAGTGGCATGTGGATTTTCAGGGTGAAGCGGCCGCCGGGTTCTCCGCCTGTCTTCAAGGCGCGTTACGTGGCTCGTGGCTTCAGTCAGCGGCAGGGGGTTGACTACTTTCAGACCTTCTCCCCCACCCCGAAGATGACCACTCTTCGGGTTCTGCTGCACGTTGCTGCTCACCGTGACTACGAGCTGCACTCTCTCGACTTCAGCACAGCTTTCTTGCAGGGCAGCCTGCACGAGGAGATCTGGCTGCGTCGCCCACCTGGCTTCACTGGGTCTTTCCCTCCTGGTACCCAGTGGAGTCTCCGACGTCCAGTCTACGGTCTCCGCCAGGCGCCACGTGAGTGGCACGACACACTGAGGACTACGCTCGCGGCACTTGGGTTTGCTCTTTCCACTGCCGACCCGTCGCTGTTTCTGCGCACCGACACCTCTCTGCCGCCGTTCTACATCCTCGTGTACGTCGACGACTTGGTCTTTGCCACAGCTGACACTGCTGGACTCGCTTACGCGAAGTCCGAGCTGCAGAAGAGACACACGTGCACTGACCTGGGTGAACTGCGCAGCTACCTTGGCTTGCAGATCACCCGGGACAGAGCACGCCGCACCATTACCCTGACTCAGTCACACATGGTGCAGCAGGTCCTTCAGCGCTTCGGCTTCACATACTCCTCGCCTCAGGCCACTCCTCTGCCTACTCGCCACTCGCTCTCAGCTCTGCCTTCGGATGAGTCCGTAGAGTCGAGTGGCCCGTTTGCAGAGCTTGTTGGCTGCCTCATGTACCTGATGACCTGCACACGACCTGACCTCGCATACCCTCTTAGCATTCTCGCACGCTTTGTTGCTCCTGGGAGACACCGACCAGAGCACATGGCTGCAGCGAAGAGGGTGTTGCGCTACTTGTGCAGTACGTCGGGCATGGGGCTAGTGCTTGGAGGGCGCAGTCCAGTGGTCCTCACTGGGCACGCAGACGCTTCTTGGGCTGACGACCAGGCTACGCAGCGGTCGTCACAGGGTTACACCTTCAGCCTTGGTTCCGGCTCTGTCTCGTGGCGGGCTACCCGCTCGTCTTCTGTTCTCGGCTCCAGTTGTGAGGCTGAGATCTACGCTGGGGCTATGGCTGCACAGGAGTTACGCTGGCTCACCTACCTGCTGACCGACCTTGGAGAGCAGCCTCGTTCTCCTCCAGTCCTGTACGTAGACAACAAGGCCATGCTGGCCTTGTGTCGAGAGCAGCGACTGGAGCACAGAACGAAGCACATTGCTCTTCGCTACTTTCTTGCTCGTGAGCTACAGCAGCGTGGACAGCTGCGACTTGCGTACGTGGCCTCTGAGGCCAACACTGCTGATGTCTTCACCAAGGCACTTGCGCCTTGTGATCATCAGCGTTGTTGCACGCAGTTGGGTCTTGTGCCTGTCTTGCCTCACTTGCTCTCCTCTTGACCTTGCTTGTACCTTCGCATATATATACTCTTGCTCTTGCTTGCTTGACTCTTGTATACCTCTATATATGATCTTGCATGTGAACTGGCCTTGTGGCCTTTGAACTTGTGCTCGGAATGCGTGGTGACTTTGTGATCCACCCTGAGCTTTGCTTTGCTTTGCTTGACTGGTCTTGTGACCCCTTGTTCTCCCCCACTTTGCCTATGGGGGTGTGTCAGAACACATAGCTTACTTGTTTGTGTAGGCTATAGTGGGGTATCCCATAGGGGGTACAACACAATTAGGGTTTCCTATTTGTACTCACTTCGTTCATACTCATTTCATTCTCGTTCAATTCTTCTCAAGGCAGGCCCCTTGGGAACATGAGGTTGGGTGCAGGTTGGGCAAAGGAAAGGTCAAAGGCGACGAGAGGTTGCTTCGGAAGCAAGCAAAGTGACCGAATGTGCACTTCCGAAAGTTGGGGTTGTATGCGGTTAAGTTAAACTCTGTAAGGAAGGGGTTTTTCCTTACATCTTGGCAGGAATAATATTTTGAAGTCTTTTTATGTGTACAACAAAGAGACATCCTGAAATAGCTAAAGCACCTTTGCCCCACTGTGTACGGGTCCATGGTCGATGTGCTATCGTACAAGGCTTTGATGACCAATTGGCTAGGGAAAGAATAAAAATTGCCCGCACCCCATGGACTTTCAGGCAAGTCCGAGTCTGGCTTTAATCCCCAATTTGACTCCCAATTTGTCGGACCGTTCACCACCAGCCTTGGTGACATTCGCGAAAGCGCCGCTCGCTGCACCGTTCTCAAACGCCTTGGTGTAGATGAGAGCAGAGTAAGCGTCTGGAGCAGCCAACATGGCGTCCGCTAGCTCCTTGTATGTCTGCCCGTTATCCGCAGTCACAGTACTGGTGCTTAGCCAAGTGCCGGTGGTTTCGTAGTTGTAACCGAGGGGAGGGGGGGGGGGGAGGCGGCTGCTTGCCCTTCCTGCCCTTGGGAGTTAGTTTGCCGCCCAGCTTGGCGCGCTCGGCGTTTGAGAGCGTGCGATTGGTCCACTTGGCGTCGCTGGTGGTCACGGTGAGTGCCACGTCAGCGCCCTTCTTGATGACGACACCAGTCGGCTCTCCGGAGTCATTGAGACTCACGCGGGCGTGATAATAAATGTCATAGTCGTTAGTCGTGGCGTTTCTGAGGGAGGGTTGGCAGCGGGTGGCAGGGAGGGGCAGGGCAGGGCAGGGACAGGGTGGGGCAGGATATGGGACTGTTGAGAAAAGGGCGAAATTTAACAAGAGGGGGATTGTAAGGCAATAAAAACACGATGATGCAAGCAAGGGGATGTCGATAGAATCAAGGTTGGGAAGAAGGTTGGGAGAGGTGACCTGAGGGGAGCTTACAGGAAGATGGTGAGGGGAGGCTGGGAGTGAGGCGCGAACTGAGGAAAATAAGACGTCGAGTAGAGAGAAGAGAGAAGGAGAAGCTTACAGAAAGATGGCGAGGTCAATGCAGCCCGTGGCGTTGACGTCAGCGCTGAGGTCAACATTAGAGCTGTTGACTCGCGCTGCGACTGCACCTGCACGTAATCGCAGAACCCCGGAAAGGAAAAAATGCACGGTGGGTGGCTGAATCCTAAGCAAGGATGCATGGTGGGCGAGGCAAGAGAGCCGGCGAAGGCTTGGAGCGGAAAGACGTTAAATCTCTACTTTCTTTTGCGCTTACCGACAAGAGTGCCGAACCGATTGCCATCAGTCTTGCCTCCGCCATTCTTCCCGCCATCCTTCCCGCCACCATTCTTCCCTCCATCCTTCCCGCCCTTCTTGTCCTTCAGCGGCGGAAGCGGGTCCGACTGAAACTGCCCCCGCGCCGCACCCAACTCAAAAGCAGGCGTCGCGAACGACCCGTAGTAACCATCCGGATTCGCGAGCATCGCATCCACCAGCACCTTCAGCGTCATTCCGCCAACCATCTCCATTGCATTCCCTTTAAGCCACGTCCCGTTTCTGGCATAAGTGTACGTCGGAGGAGGGGGGGGGGGGCGGTGTGCCCTTGTTCTTTTTGCCCTTGGGAGGGGGAGGCGGGGGACGGGTAATATTCGTCCAAGTGGTGGATTCTCCTGCTTGCACTAAAAGGGCGGCGGGGTCGCCCGCCTCTCCTGCCGCGCCTATCGAGATCGTCGCGCCAAGCGGCTTGCCGTCTTCGGAGATGGAGACGACGGCACTGTAGAAGACGTTGTAGTCGTCGTCTAGCCTGACGGTTTCCGTCAGGTTTCATACAAGCGAGCGGGAAGGAAGGTCGGAATGCGGATCGCTCAGGGAAATGAAGGCACTCTCGGGATGATGATGATGATGTGGGGCAGCGGTTTAGTTTAATCAACGGGAAGATGGAAGGCGGCAGAGAGGACCAGGTGACGTGGTTCGAGAAAAAACGAAAAAAAAAAACAGGTGGTCGGCTTACTCGAAAACGGCAAGGCAGATTCTGCTGGTGGCGTTGACGTCGCCCGTCGCCCCAACCACATTGGATCCGTTCAGCCGCGCGGCGAGAATCGCTGCGCGGAGGTGGAGGGGGGGGGTGAGGAGTTGGAGGTGGGGGGGGGGATTGTTCGGCAAGAGGAGGGCACGCAGAGGAAAGGTGAACGGGGGAGCGAGAGTGTGTGAGAGAAGGGCGGAGAGGACAGTGAGAGCGCGGAGAAAACGACAGGAGAATAGAACAGAGGCGAGAAGAGGAGAGAAGCTTGTGTTTTGATTGTAAAAGCCGTAATCAACGCGCAGATTCTCGTAAGGACATGCCACACTGCTAGCCAAGCATCTAGAAATTTACCGGGCTCCTATCATGCGTCAGATTCCCCAAAGAGTTCTCACCCGTCAGATTCCCGAGAGGCTCAGCATCTTTTTCCTTGGGCAGCGGGCACGGGCCTGCATTCGAGGGTCCTTTCTTCCCGCCTTTATTGTCCTTATTCACAGGGCGTGCAGTCGTGATTCCTGCGCAACATAAACACACATGGAATAAGCTTATGAAGTTGCAAATAAGAAGATAAGCAATGTAGCAGACGCATGGAAAATGAAGCATATCGCTGTGATTAAGTCATAGGATTCCTGGTGATATCGGCTGTAGCAAAGGTGAAGATTCACATATCACTCACCGATGGATGCTGTGACAACTAGGAGGCAAATCGGCAAGCAGAGGTAACGGCGGAGCCCCATGGCGGACCAAATTCGCTAGCTGCTGAATCGATTTCAAGAGATGATAGAATAAATGTTGGTTGAGCGACGAGGGTGTGAAGGAACTGATAATAATCCTAGCACCAATCTAGTGGTATTTATCCTCAGCAAGGAAAACTGGGCAACTGCTGATCGCGTACGAGAAAACTCTACTTTTCGGTACGGTGCAGAAGGTTTACCAGAGCTGCGCGCTGGTAACCTTGGGTTTCAGGAAATGTTCCTCGCCTCTGGTGTTCGACTCTGCGGGCCACGGGAAACATTGGGCCAGGAGAATGCGCTGCGATATTCGGGTGGACGCATTTGGCGGGGTACCTGGCGGGAAAGGATACCACGGAGCGTGTGACATGCGTAAATATTGTGGGAGCTCGATTGCGAGGCAACAACAGAAGGAATTAGTGCAAACCTTACCTAGAATATCTATGTAAACATCAGTGGGATTAAAGGTTGGGGGGTTGGGGCTGCTGACCTCTCGATACCCACTTTTCCCATAATTTTCCTTTTGAGTTCTGATCCAGTCGAAACTGTACACAAATGGCACGGGCAACTCAGTCGAAGCGAGATTCTCAAGTCCCGCATCGCAGAGGTGAATGATGAATCGCCACAGGGTCAGAACCAATCACGTAAGGTGAAATTCAGATGAAGCTGGTGGCTCCTTTCCTCACGGAGCCTTGAGCTCTGTTCTACCGCACCCGCAATAAACTTGGTCAACTGCTTTCCTCGGCTCGACCAATCCCCTAAGATGCACGCGCAGATGGCGCAGCATGAAAATCCAGCAATGGATGGCGAAAGTCTCTATAAAGAGGACCTACACTACTATAATAACACAAATCAGGTGACTTAACTCCATAATCATTATATATAGATTGTGCCAAGTATCCTCTCTAGTGATTATACTTGCTTAGCAACAGCTTAAAACCGAGGTGTTCATACCTGTATCACAATATCAAGGAGCACAAAGAATTTTCATCCTCCATGTGGCAGCCAGCCAGCTTCGAGCTCACTCACCCCTCTAAAGCGCCGCACTCCAAGCTGAAGCCCTCAAGCTGCAAAATTTGGTCGCTATTCTTCGGATTCATCGCCGCAGAGCCGGACGTCAACTTCTTTTCTTAACAGAGTATGGGTGGTAATGTTGCTAAGAGGTATTAGAGGAAGAGAACAAGAGGTAGGAAACAGGAAAGGTAGTAGAGGTGGAAAGAGGAAAAGGAGGAGAAACTAAGGACCAAGCACAACAACAATACGCACCACAACGCGAGGCACTTCGTTTCAATGACAGAATTAAAAAGTGCTGGTGGGAGGGCTTCGGGCTGGATAGAAGCTGAGATGGCTGGGTCACTTCCGACGAGGGAGGTCCCGGGATCAATCTCCTGTGTTGACGTATTTTGTCAGCCTCCCAGAAGGGGGTTCGCAGATGCTTACTCTGAGAGTGGATACACCTAAACCTCGTTGACCTAGCGAGGCTCAACAATTGGGGAGGTGGGTTACGGGTTACGATTGACAGCCAGGTGTGTGTAACACCCAGAGGGGTTCTTTGTGAGCAGATTGGTTTGTGACATGCACTAACAAAGCAAGAAGCCAAAACCATCTTTTTTGTCTACACTAACAACGCAACTGTACTTCTACAAAAGCCGCTAAAACACTAAACACAGTGATCTATTGATAGATTTTTTTTTTTTTGCAAAACATTGCAATTTGCTACCATCGACTATCAGGAAACACCCATCACTGTGATACAATGAGGAATGAATGACTAAGGAATGTGAAAGGTACAAATATGAAACCCTAGGAAACCATACCCCTTAAAGTCTACCCCACTACAGCCTAGATAGACTATAGTTTATAAGTTTGACACACCCCCATAGGCAAAGTGGGGGAGAACAAAGGGTCACAAGACCAGTCAAGCAAAACACAGCAAGCTCAGGGTGGATCACAACGTCACCACACATTCCGAGCACAAGTTCAAAGGCCACAAGGCCAGTTCACATGCAGGATTATATATATATAAAGCTAAAAATGCAAGTGCAGGTATAGAAAGGTCACAGTACAAGCAAAGTCAAGAAGTGAGCAAGTGAGGCAAAGTAGGCACCAGACCTAACAGAGTACAGAAGCGCTGATGATCACAAGGCGGGAGTGCCTTGGTGAAGATATCAGCAGTGTTGGCCTGAGAGGCCACGTAAGCAAGTCTTAGCTAACCACGCTGCTGCAGCTCACGAGCAAGGAAGTAGCAAAGAGCAATCTGCTTCATTCTGTGCTCCAGCCTGTGCTCCCGACACAAGGCCAGCATGGCCTTGTTGTCTACGTACAGAACTGGAGGAGAACGAGGCGGCTCTCTAGGTCACTCAGCAGGTAGGTGAGCCAACGTAACTCCTATGCAGCCATGGCCCCTGCGTAGATCTCAGCCTCATAGCTGGAGCTGAGAACAGAAGACGAGCAGGTAGACCTCCACGAAACAGAACCGGGACCAAGGCTGAAGGTGTAACCCTGTGACGACCGCTGCGTAGCCTGGTCGTCAACCCACGAAGCGTCTGCGTGACCAGTGAGGACCACTGGACTCCGCCCTCCAATCACGAGCCCCATGCCCGACGTACTGCACAAGTAGCGCAACACCCTCTTCTCTGCAGCCATGTGCTCGGGTCTGTGTCTCCCAGGAGCAACATAGCGTGCGAGAATGCTAAGAGGGTATGCAAGGTCAGGTTGAGTACAGGTCATCCGGTACATGAGGCAGCCAACAAGCTCTGGATACGGGCCATTCGGCTCTACGGACTCATCCGAAGGCAGAGCTGAGAACGAGCGGCGATTAGACAGAGCAGTGGACTAAGGCGAGGAGTACGTGAAGTTGAAGCGCTGAAGGACCTGCTGCACCATGTGTGACTGAGTTAGGGTAATGGTGCGCTGTGCTCTGTCCCGAGTGATCTGCAAGCCAAGGTAGCTGCGCTGTTCACCCAGATCTGTGTACGTGTGTCTCTTCTGCAGCTCGGACTTCACGTGGGCGAGTCCAGCAGTGTCAGCTGTGGCAAAGACCAAGTCGTCGACGTACACAATGATGTAGAACGGCGGCAAAGAGGTGTCGGTGCGCAGAAACAGCGATGGGTCCGCAGTAGAAGGAGCAAACCCAAGAGCCGCAAGTGTAGTCCTCTGTGTGTCGTGCCACTCACGGGGCGCCTGGCGGAGACCGTAGACAGGCCGCCGGAGGATCCACTGGGTACCAGGAGGAAACGACCCAGTGAAGCAAGGTGGGCTCCTCGTGCATGCTGCCCTGCAGGAAAGCAGTGCTAAACAAGAGAGTGAAGCTCGTAGTCGCGCTGAGCGTCTATGTGTAGCAGCACCCGAAGAGTGGTCATCTTCGGGGTGGGAGAGAAGGTCTAAAAGTAGTCAACTCCCTGCCGCTGACTGAAGCCTCGAGCCACGTAATGTGCCTTGAAGACAGGCGGAGAACCCGGCGACCGCTTCACCCTAAAAATCCACATGCCACTGACGATGTTAGCCCCAGATGGGGGAACCTCGTCAACGTAGGTGCCTGTGGACATCCAGGAAGCCATCTCTGCGTCCATGGCTGCCTGCCACCTAGAGGACTAGGGACCCTGTATCGCCTCTGCGTAAGAGCGCGGAGTCGGGATGTCTGGTGCATCCGGGTCTCCCTCAGGGGCAATCAGCATGGACACGAGATGAGGTAAAGCAACACCAAAGCACTGGAACTCCTCCTGCCTGTCCTCGAGGACGTCCGTGCCAAGAGAACACTCACCCCTGACGGAAGGAG